TTAAGATTCTAGAGCCGTTAGAAGCTTTTCTAATATAATAAAAATAATCGATATTGTTTTTAACGTTCTGTGACCCATACACACAATGTTTCAGTGGGGGGTCGGACCTTCGGTCCTCAAACTCCCACTTTCACATTGTGTTGAGGTGAGTAGTAAATTATAATATAATTCAAATAGATAGATTTAAATAGACTTGAGTATGATGACTATCAATGGTTGTCTTCGCTTTTTCAGGCTCAAGAAATATCTACTTTTTAGGCCAAATATCATACCAATCTGGCCAATGTCTTAAAATCATTATTAGATCTGCATTATGGTAATGAGCTCCATTATTAGAGATAATGCTAACCCACTCTGGTTTTTTTTTTATAGATTCAATAACAGCATAAAGATTGGATGCTGTGAACCATGCATCTTGACGTGAATCATTAGACCAGTAATCATGTGCTTGGATATCAAGTTCAAGTGAATTTGTTTTACGAGTATATACTAATACTGAATGTAGAGTCCAACCCTTCTTTCCAAAAAATTGTTCTTTTGTCTCCCTTGCACTTTTAGGTAGTACCTTCATCTTATAATCTATAACTATAAGCGCTCCTTTTTCGTCTAATTCTAACAAATTCGCATTAAACTATGCATTTAAATACACTTTACGTATTTAGTGTGTAAGATAATATAGAAGGTATTCATGGTATTCATCTAGTTTATTATGTAATGTAACAGAAGTATCTTTTTTTAATTGATGAAAGATTTCAAATAATTGTTCACATTCAACATATTTACAATCATGTGATTCTGTACAAATGCCAAAAGTATATAGAAGACAGTGGCTGATATAAGCATTATAAGAAACAGTCCTATTTGCAGCAATTTCAAGTTCTTGTTCATAAGACTTTTTAAAGTAATGACACAAATGTTCAAGTTTTTTGATATAGTTTTTCTTGATAATGATAAAGGATAGTTTATTTACAATAAAATAAATCAAAAATAAATAAGCAAGCTTTGTGATTACATAAATAAATATGAATTGTAAATTGCCTACTTAAAGATTATTGTCTTGAATATTTTTTTCAACAAATTTTTTCATATCTGCAAAAATTTCATACCCATAATGACTACAAATTGAATAAAGACCACCAAGATCTTCTTGATAAATATATTGCTTTTTTTGCAAAAATGTCATAAAAGATGTTCGTTTAATACCATCTGGAAATTACATGCTAAACTTTTTTCATAAAGCTTTTTTCGTATTTTTGAGATATTTTACTGGAAGTCTAGTTTTAGTTTCTATTTTATATCTACTCATTACAACATTATTTTTATCATCCAAAAATTGTTGTAACTAGTTAGACTTTCTTGAGAAATTGTTATACAAGTAAAAACAGGTTTTTCAATATGTTCAGCATCTGGACCATATAGTCTTGCATACTAGCATGCTTTATAAATTATATCTGATGAGGTAATCTAATAATAAAAAATAATTTAAATTGAATATTATCCATCTTCTGGATTAAAGTCCCTGACATATTTACTAACATTCAAATTATTTTTGATTTCATCATATGAAAACTGATCTGCAACAATTGATAAAATACGCCTCTTGCCATCTTGACCTTTTTTGTTTACATTCAATGATTCTTGAATACAGTTCCAAAAAGTCTCAATCTGATGACATTCATTTGGTATGGGATGAAGAAAACCAAGATCATATAAAGTCTGTAATGCCGCACGATCTTATCTGAATTTATTGATTTTATCTAAAATTCAAACTGTAAATATAGTTCAAATAAATAAATATTTTTTTGTTTTATTATTACTATTTATTCATACTTATAAATATTTTCATTACTTACCTCAGATTGATTTTTATTATAGGTGTAATTTCTACACAACCCATATGTCGAAACATTGTCCTTCAGGCACAAAGTTCTCGTGAATTTATTTGATACTTAGATCCATATACTTGCATCAAAGAAGTTCGTAATTCAATAATTTCACTTTGTTGATTTTTCCAATTCTCGATAAATCTAAACCAATTGATATCAGATTTTATTTTTTTCTTGAAATGATATTCAAAGATTTGTTGTAATAAAAGTATGTCATTCTATTCTTCTGATGTACATGATGAAATTTGCAGTTAGCCAATTAATGCTTGTGTATATTCATTATCAATACCAAACAGTTTATTAGCATCAAATTCTGGTTTGTGATCTATTTTAGACCAAATATCTGTTAGAATTTTTCCACAAACAATTGTTTGACGTTCATTTTCTTCATAAACAGTAAGAATACATTTCTTATCAGTAAAACTTTGAACATATAAAAATTGCTTTTTCCTATATTGTCAATAAAAGATGACTGATACCTAGCACCAGCATAATTCCATTCTTGATTTTTTGACATGCTAACACTAAAGACTATTATTCGAAACCTTTCTACAGAAATCTCAAAAGGTTGAAATTGAATATTTTTTAGTAATTCTTCTACAATAACCTATTGGTCAAATTCCATAACAAGTTGTCCAGAAAATTTCGTTTTTGTATGAAATAAATCTTGGTATAACGATGTAATAGCAACTGAAGAATTTGAGCATATTTCACTATGCTTTGATTTACAAGTTGCTTGATATCTTGAACCAGGCGAAGTTTCTATATCAGGTTTCAAAACAGTAATAATAAAATTACAGCCATTGAGTTTTGTAAGCGTTTTCATACCTAAATTTATTGGAACTAGTAGTTTTATTTGATTATTTATATTTCTTTCGCTCGTGATCCACCATGTATAAGAAAAAGGTCCATAATGTATTTCTGAAACAGTTTTTCCAGCTATAAGAAGAGTTGTTGAATAACTTTTACACTTGCATTTAAGCATTGTTTACAAGAGTGTTTAAAGAAACAGTTAGATAATAAAAAACCAGATTCTAGTTTGACAAAATTTTCTATATGTTTAATATTCCGGTTTGATGTATTAAAATTTGTCCAGTTGTTAAACAGATCATGAATTAAGCAATGATCCCATTTGAGGATCTGCTTTAGTAATTTTACATATATTTACAATTAGTTGCTTATATAATACCATTGTATTGTTTATTATTTAAAGAAAAAGAGTCTTACATTCTTCCTGTAATTGAAATTTAGTATATTAAACTAAAATATTTAATTAGTATAAATTACATAATAAAATTTTTTATTATTATGTATTATATTATATTACCTAGTTGATTTCTGAAAATATAGATACTGGATATGATGTATAAATAGATATTTGTGGTATTTCTGATTCTTCTCTATTTACTGATACACTAACTATCATTGAATTTTGAATATTTATCATCAAATTTAAAATTTTTTGATGATGAGCTACCCATAAAGTAATTTCAAACTTATTAGACATTTTTTAAAATTGTATTAGATGTTTAAGTTATAAGTCATATTTCCAGAAGTTACTTTCATTATTTATTAAAATATTTAGTAATACCAAGGGTTGGAGAAAAAGACAACTTGTTTGTTATATTACCATGCGTTACTATTACGAATTGTCTTTCTTGAGTTTATGTCAATTACCTATTAATTGTTATATCAAAAAAAAATATGTTAAGCCTAATACTTTAGATACAAAATGTTTTTAAACGTTGATGTTTAAGAGTAGATTAATATAGTTGAAAGCTATTTACTGCTAAATTTTCATGGTTATTGATAAATTATTGATAATTCTAGTTAGTTTAAATAAGTTTATTCAAAATTTAAATGTAATATTTTAATGAACAATAAAATAAATTTATTGAATTTGCATTCACATTTTGTTATTCTATTTGCTTTATAAAAATATTCCTTCTTTTAAGAGCTTTTTTGATAAATAGCATTAAATTTTTTAGGTTGAAAATAATTATAGATACCAATTTTTGTTTTTTTTTATATAAAGTTAAAATCCTAAATGCTCAGATTATCCATAATAATTCTGATACTGAAAAAATTTTAGCAAATGAATCTTCTGCTTTTTTAAGTTATACTCATATCTGAAGTTATTCTAAAGCATAAACAGGGTTAGTAGGTAAATTTGCCTTTTTTATGAGAGAGGATTTTTTATTTTTTATTGTAAAGTTATTTGAACATGCTGTCTTCAAATTTTCTCTTAAGCTCGCAGTACCTTTTTCTGGAATGTAATTATTAACATTTCTCTATGTCTTTTGTCAGCTTCTCATATAGATTATAATACATCTTATATAAATAATCCCAAATTCTTCATCTTCTAATTCAATATCAATTGAAGATTTCAAAATTGTGATAAACATCTGATTCAGAAATGAGTTAAAAAGAAGACTATTTTTCACATAATGAAGAATATTTGATCCTAATTCATTATGTTTCTCAAACAAATCAATTATTAAAGATTCTAAATAATACATGAACTGAGTAAATTTAGGTCCAGATATAATATTAGTGGTTTGTGATTTTGTTTCTATTATATATTCAACCTTTTCTTCATAAAGAATTTCAAGTAAAGTATACATTATCTGAAATTTTAAATGAGAATTCATTGCATAATATTTTTTAAGTAATTTAAAGAGTACCTAACAAATAATATAGAAAAATTTTTGGGATTCTGCTTGATTTAAAGTAATAATTTTTTTAGGAGTTAAGGTAGGATCAGCATGTTCTTATATTTTTCTATTATCATAAAAGGCATTCTTAAATGTTTCATCTATTACTTTACGAATAAAGAAATATACAACAAGTCTATATATAATAGAATGATTTTGCGAAATTATTTTTTGGAATTCTAAATACCAAATATCAGAATATAGATAGTTATTTAGACTAATTTTCAAATGAGAAACCCATGTAGTTATCCAAAGGTTTCCTTTTCTTTTGGAAATTGATTTCAAAGTAATACTTTTAATATCATTTTTTTATTTTTCTAACATAAAAATAATGTTATCATTATAGAGATACAAAATGAAAAGTTACTGACATTTTTTTTGTAAAATGAAATTTTTGATTTTATTGATTAATTTCATTTTCATTACTAAAAGATAAGGCTGAAGTTTCAATTTTTCCTATAAACAAATCATCTAAAAGAAGACTTTTAAAAATCTGTCATGTAAAAGGAAATATATTAGATAATTATGTAATATGATTTAGTAAAATAGGATGTGTATTATTATCTTTTAATTTTTTTATTCTATAATCACTATGAAAAAAGGTTACTAAATATCCATTTAAATATAAAGTTTAATTTGTAAAACACACTTACTGATGAGTAAGATGATCAAATTCTATTCTTTTATAATTTGATTCTTTATAATTAAAGCTTTTGATTTCAGAAGTAATCTTTGCAGTAACCTGAAATTTATTTAATATGTGTCCATATTCTTTTAATGTTTGTATAAAAGAATCACCTTTAAGTTATTGAATTGTACTGAATAACCCTTCTAATATATCTTGTGAT